TATAAAGGAAGAAATTGAGCACACTTCAGTGTATAGTGAAATCTTAAAAACTTTTGGCAAAGCCATGTATGCAGTTTTGTTGGCAGTAACCGCATTCGTCTTATCACAGAAGAGAAGTTTCACTCACTGTCCAGGAATCTTGTTTCTTACTTTGCCAGTAAGTAAATTGGTCAAATACTGCTGACGCGCATGGTACTGGGAAAAGTTCAAGAAAATCTCTTGGTTGGCCTTTGGATCAAAGTCTCATAGATGCAGCAGCACGAAGTGTTAAATAAACAGAAATAAATTAAAATAGAATCTATTGGTAAGATGAATTTAATATAATCAAAACCTTTTAAAATACCTACAGTTTGGGTACAAAATTATTATTGCTTTTATTTCCTAGCCAGTGATCACGCCCATCATCATACCTTCACAGTGACTTCTATTGGGTGGGTAGCTTTCATTGCACTGAATACAAGGCTGTGATAGGGAAGTGATAGATAGCAAGTAGTTTCTGTAGAATAGTCGCTACCTTTTTACAGTTATTTTCTCAATGACTATTTATTAGGATCTTCAAAGTAACTAATTTGACTTGACTTTATAGTGTGCCTTACTGGGACCTTGCTTTAAAAAAGTAAGACCCCTCATCATTCAGAAGGCAGGTCCTTTTAAGAATACAATCCGTAACATCCAAAAAGGCCACTGTCAAATGGAAGGGCGAGGGTGAGGTAGGGAATGGAATAATTTTTACCAAGCTTTACCAAGGCACTAAAACAATGAATCTAACAAGCATGAACACCTATCTTGAGACAACATTCAGTTCACCTATGTAAGTATCTCAGTTGCACGTTACAAACTAAGCGACACTATATTTGAAGTCAAATTTTACTGCAATTCAACAAGAGATGAGTTTTGACTGAAATTTTACAATGAGCCCTTGAGCTAGGTTTCCTTCTTGAAGTACAATCTATATTTATCAGTAACTATTGTCAACTAGTAACAACTGTTACTAACTTTCTTGTAAGTAGTGGTAAAACACTGAGCTATCTTTTGCACAGGAGGAATTTTAGTTTTGTCAGAAAGCACAGTAAGTAGAACAAGGTTTATAAGTAGGGTAGACTTTTTATTACATCTTTAACAATAAAAGAAAGATCACACTTGTTGGTTTAATAGCATATTACAATGTTCCTGTTCACACCCCCCACCCCCATACTCGTTGCCTCTTTTCCTGTCCCTCTTTAAAATTCTTTCTTCAGAAGTATCGTCTACCTTTTCTTTCAGAAGCAATCTTATAGTTAACTCTGAGCACTTCGATAACTTGTATTTGAAAACTGCTGCTTGCATCTTGGACCAGGAGAAGGGCATGTGTGCCTGAAACTTGTCTCTTTATTTTCCTACTTTCTTCTTTTCCCCTACGTTGGATCAAATGATCTGATAGGATTGTCTACAAAACTGCCTTGCCTGATCATCAAACTACTGCTAGAGAAAGTAACTGCTGCAAAAAGAAAAAAAGCTGAAAGTCATGGTAGTGTGAACTGACAGATGCCATTTAAAAGATTTAAACTGCATGCATTCAAAGCAACCGCTGTTACAGTACTGCTGGGAATGCAACAGCAGGATGGCTAGTTTTGTAAAGGATGTGGTCTGTCTAATTCTCTTGGTTCAGCGCCTGCAAAATAAAGTAACCACCCCAATTTAGAGCTGAGCTGGCAGGCAGCTGGGTCTGTTCTTTTGCCTGTATAGACAACCTGTGCAGCTTAAGACGACTCTACCCTTCCTGTGTTTAATGTATGAATGAATACTGCTATTGGGATCTAACACTTCATTTTTATTTCCTCATTATAGCATTGCAAAATGCTTATGTTGTAGTAGATATTTACCCAGCATTTTACAGACTGTGCTTAGCACACTGTCTTGAGGAGGTATAGAACATGTACCTTCCATAGACAGCTTGTGCTTGTGGCAGAGACAGGAAAAGCAAGTTCTAACTCCAGACGTTTCCTCCTTAGGTTTTGCTGCCTTTGCTAAATGTATTTCAAAATATGGACAGAAAACTTGCATCCACATAACCTGAGCTAGCTATAAATAACCTGCCCAGCTAACCTGAATTGCAATTAACCTGAATACGACATCCCTAACACAGTGTTCATTTAACAGAAAAAAAAAAAGTACATGAAATGTTGTAGATTGTGTTTGGGCAGGTAAATGAAACCTACGTACAGGGATTGTTCTTCAGTCGTTGCCTTCCACTGTACACATGCACAGCATCATTAAAATCGGGGAGCGGTTTTATGTGGTTAGCATTTGGATGACTGACATCTTAATCTTTTAATTTGTGATGCACAGGATATAAATGAATGGAAGTAATGCTCTGTTGTCTTTCAGAATAGCAGGTTAACAGACCACTTAACCGCTTAAGTTGACAACAACCTTCTATACAGTATCTGGAACTGTCTCAAATTGTGGAGCTGGCGTCCACAGATAGCCCTGCAAAATGCAAGTTCAGTA